GTGATGATGATACTGAGGGAGGTGGGGAGGTGGAGGTGGAGGCAACTGCGAGGCTGACCAATGACTCGATGGCTGGGTAGGGGAGCTCAGGAGGTTGATGGAGGACTAGGAGAATAAGGGCCGTGCAACAGCTTGAAGGGTGAAATGCACTCGAGAGATAGCTGCACTGGTCCACCACCCTCGCTCGTCCCTGCTCCATTCCGTTTCCTCTCCTCTGTATTTCATACTCAGCCCTCCCTTCTGCTCGATCTTCCACCCCTCCGCCTCCTCACGCTCGTCTTCGTGGGCTGCGTGGACGCAGAGAGTGACTCCTGCTGAGCACAGCGGGCCCATTTGAACTTTTCTGATGGCGTCAAGCCACATTTGCTTCCGTGGGGACGGCGGTCGCACGACTCTGATCGCGACGAATCGCTAGACAAGCTGTTGAGGGGCGCTTCGGCGCGCAACAAATGAGAGAGTATGGCTCTGCTGCAAGCAACTGCTCGCGTGTGTCTGGTCAAACGACGTCTCCTACAGGCAAGCCTACGCTAGAAACATGATGTGTTAGCGTTGACTCCAATAGGCAACGCCTGTTGCGCAAGCGGGCACCCACCAGGGAAAAAAAACTAGCAAATACCGGGTAAAAAACGGGTATGTTTTACCCGCGGCGCTCCCGCTCGAGACATTCTCACAAAACTGGCCGGGTAAAAACCGGGTAAAAGCCTGGTAAAGACCGGGTAAATCCAGGTAAAAAACAACGCGTCTCAGCTCTGCAGTTTTCATTTTGAACTGGTCCGTGGCTACTGGATGAGCCGTCCTCCGCCTGCCCCCCCTTGCCCGCTCCATCACCATACCAAATTTAGTAGCTCGATTGGGGCAAAATATGTCATGTGCGGGGCTGGGCACCGCGCGGTAGAGAGAGAAGAACCTGGCCCGCGTGCCCCGTGCGATTGTCGAGCGTTCCAACGAGCTGCCTCCAGCCCTGACGGGCTGCCCCTGCCCTGCCCCCACCCTCGTCGGACACGCACTTTCAGCATCGGAAGCCGCCCCGACCCGCTCTGAAACATCCGAGCTCGCAAATCAACTGTTCCGTGTCGCATTGGGCCAACTCCGAGGCTCGCGAGAGCCCTCCCCCTGATGCAGGCCCGCGTCTGTCTCTCTGCCGCCTCTTCCTCGTCGAGCCGAGTACTCCACCTCGTCTGGCTCAACGCTCTCCCTGTTTTCGCCTCGCTCCCTTTCCTCGGCCTCCTCCGCCGCTGAACGGAGTCGCGGCCTCTCCACCTCCTCCCCCTCCTCGTCGTCCTCGAGCGTAGCAGGGGGCGGACAGTCCTCCATGAGCACCTTAGCCACCGCCAGCGCGGGGGCGCCTCGACTGGCAGCGGACCGCGCGAACCTGGCCTGCCGCTTCGCGGTGGCTGAGGACGGGGTGCGCGGGGGACGGGAGAACCCTGAGCGCGTTATACATATTGCACGCATGCACTACAGGCTCGAGGGACTCGACCGACGGATTCAGAATTCCAAAACGACCTAATGGACAGTCAGAGACATCATCAGCCAAAGACAGACGGACCAGGCGCCAGAAACGAGCACAGGTCCAGAAGTGCCAACACGCGTTTTGGGCCCCAGGGCAGCCCAGGAAACAGCACTGCACACACTGAAATCTATTTGGAGTGACCCAGCTTCCCGTGAGCGTTTTAAAAATCGCTAAGCACCAGGAGGGAGGGAGGGGGGCCATCACGGCGCGCAGACGACCGAAATCAATGTCATCGATCTGGGGTCGGAGAGCAGGGAGCCACTGGAGGAGTCGACGTCGAATCGTATCTGCAATGTCATTTGGGTACAGCTGCGACAGAATCTCTTGATACAGCACTCTCTGAGGACGAAGCCGGTGGAGGGGGAGGTCCGGGTGACCAGCCACATGTTCGTCGAGCCTGGCGCACGCTGCTGTACATGCTGGCCCCAGAAGCTCATCATTCGGGAAGCCCTGGGAGGCCTGGTCGAGGGCGCACGCAATCGGGGTGGACTTCCACCACTCTGGAGAGCACCTGCCCTCGATCTGAGCAACGAGAGGAAGGTGTTCAGCCGCAGCAGCCTCCAGCCTCTGCAAGCAACTTCGCCACTCGTGGATCGTGAACTTACTCATTCTGATCAGCTGGGCGGCGTTCGATGCCAGGACACCGACCACTTTCGGGCCGCCGTATCTGTGGAGATCGAACCAGTCCCCATGAGGAACCGCACAGTAAGGCACCTTAAACACCCGCGACAGTTGAGCAAATTCCTGGCGCCGAAGATGCCGAGGAAGAAGCATACATTGTCCCACATAAGACAGCACCGATACCGCTCTATTGTTATACAGACTTATATTGACTTGACCAGCCGCTCCAGGCTTCGCCAGCATGGATCATCTACTAAGATATTTTCGGAACGGAGATCCCCAAGACTCGCACTCAACTCCTGGACCCAACCATATCCCAAGATATTTGACCTTATCCGCAATCTCAAAGTCGGCCCACTCTGGGATGTTCCGTGCTAGCCACGTGCGGAAGCGCTCAACTAGCGCTGGCGTGAGCTGGCCGCCCACGGGGACGATGCAGCACTTCGGAACCTTCAAAAAGAGGTGCGCGAATATCTGCGCCTCCTTGACAATGCTGAAGACGGGGCCTAGCAACTGGACTCTCCTCAGGATCATTCCTATGTCGTCGGCGCAGGCTCGGGTACGCCCCTCATCAGGCCCATCTAAGACCAGCCGAAATTTCCTCAGGAACGGGTCGAGGATGATGGAGAAAAGCAAACCCGAAGCAGGACACCCCTGGATAATGCCTCTCGTCACCCAGAACAGCGGCTCTCTGGCATCCCCAATACACCCCAGACACAACACATTCTCGTACAACAGGATCAGAAACGCTTTCAAGGGCGGGGGGATCTTCAGCGACATGATGACCATTCTGACCCACTGCTGCGCCGTCGACGGGAAGGCCTGCCAAAAATCGGAAAATACACCAGTCGAGGAGCCTCCAGGCCGAACGAGTCCTACTTCTCGGGCAAACGCGTCCAGCTCAACGATGTTCTCCCCAAAATTTCGGCACATTACGAACCCTCTCTGAGACGAATCCAGGAACTTCGGCACAGTGATACTTAAAGCTCGGCAGCACACACTCGTGATGATTTTGTTGTCGCTGTTTTTGAGCCCCAGGGGTCTGGTGTTCCCCGCCTCCCTCGTGATTTTGACCGAGTCCTGAGCCTCCTCTGCCTTCGGGATGAATGCGCCAAGGAGCTGGTTGAAATCCCACGAGACCGATCGGCCTTCGAGCGAATACAGCATACTATCGTACAAGACGTCCGCTCCGCGTGGTGCATGAACCCACGCAGCGTATGGCAGCATATCTGGGCCAAGGGCAGAACGCTGAAGTCGGCGGAGGTGCGAGAGAAGAGAGTCGTACGTCGGCATCGGGAGGTCGAGCGCGTCAATATGTACAGGATGCGCCGCCAGAAACTCCGCAGCAGCTGCAGCACCAAATTCACGGCCTGTGAAGACACTCTCCCAGTGTCTCCCGAGCTCACGCAGCATCTGCGATGGCTCCGATAAGATGTGGCCGCCAGGGATCCGAACACCAGCCAGGGCGAGACGACGGTCGAAGGGGGACCAAAGCTGGGAAACCTTCTGAAGTCGACGAGCACGTGCCCGAAGTTGGTGTTGCACGTTGGGGTTATTAGTTTCCTCGGCGGCTTCCTGGAGCTGGATATGTTTCTTTCTCGAGACCTCGGAATGGACGGCATTCGACAGCTCATGGAACATCTCGGAAGCGACGAGCGAGACCGACGAGCTGTTGTAATCGATGTTAATGTGGTCCCTGGCCAGGAAATGAGCAGCCTGCAGACGCTCAGCCAGCCGAGCGTCTTGACGGAAAACCGCATGAGCCACACTGCGAAGCACCATATATCTCGCCACGGCTGACCCAGGACGCCTAATAATGATACAGTCTCTAGCATATCTGGACGCTTCAACCATCAAGGATTTGAAGTACTGGTGCTTCACCCAGGGCTCGAGGGTGTGCAGGGGGGCGGCCTCGACAGCCATTCGGATGAACTTCTTGTACTCTGCCGAGTCACAAATCTCCTTCGGAATCGGCCTGTGTCCTGCCGGCTGCGCGCCTCGAATTCTCAGGGTGACTGCAACAGCGCCGTGGTCCGAGATGTGCTTAGCTTGAAGGGTTTCAGGTAGGTCCAGGACCTCGCCTCCCGTGGAGCACTGCGCCAGGACCCATCCAGGACACGAAAGAAACACACGATCGATATCAGAAAGCCTCTTGAGGCCGTGGTGGTAGCGGGTGGGGTCTTCGATTTGGCACTCCGTGAATTGTCCTAGAAGCTCGCGCCACCCAGCAGGAGCAACAGGAGCAGCGTTGTGGCCAGCAGCACCATGGACGTCACTCTCTGGCGTGAGTCCGTGCATCGCGATGCTGCCGAAGTTGAAATCACCCGCCAGCACGGTCATGCACGAGAGAGGGTTCGCATTCGAGAGGAGGGGGTCGGCTCCGATCGCATCCAAGACTCTACGCTTCTCTTCGGCAGACAGGTTCTCGTTATGAATGTTGTAATGGGAGATCCAAACAGAGTTATCACAATTCGCAAATCTCGTACTCAGTACTCTTCCAGGAACAATGGGGAGGGAGGAAACTGTAGGACGATTCACACCGCAAACGTTAAACCTGTGTTCTGAATTCTGAAAATTCGGGAAGAGGGCCACAACACCACCTGCATTCGGGGAGTCAGGGAGGAAGGAGGAGGTAAAGGAGAAATCCTCGCGTGCATGATGGAGCATGTCGCTCACTTCAGCCTCCGTGCCGTGCGTCTCCTGAACAGAGACAAGCGCACCAGGCAGCAAGAGCCGAGACAGATAGCGGCGCCGCTTCAGCCTCACTCTGATCTTGTGGTGATGCAGGGAACTGGCGTTCCATGTCGATACTCGAAGGGGTACTCGCCGCTCGTCACAGCAGCCACTCCAGAGCACCTGGATGGTGTTAAAGATTCCACTTAGTCGGCTCCGCTTCCTTGATGAGTACCTGCTGGATCGCAGGCTCCAAGAGGCCACGCTCGAAGCCTTCAGCGGCGAGGCTCGCGTTGGCCCACTTGATGATGGGGTTATGGTTGCCTTCCTGCGGCTCCACCTGCACCAGCGGCTTCCAGCTGATGGAAACCATCCCCTTCTGGCGGTCGGTGAACACCTTCTTGTCGGCATACAGTGTATTGAACACTTGTTTGATGAGCTTCGTGTACAGCTCCGTCTTGATCTGCTTCGCGTTCTTGTCGGGGCCAACATATAATTCCGCGCGACCTCCAGTGACTGATGTCCCCTGAAATTGTCGCCGCTGACCGCCAGGCACCTGAGGACGAAGAGTGCCAAGCGCTTGAAGGACTTTCCTGCTCGACCATCCAACCGCGCCACTGAAACGAACCAGGAAGCGACGGCCGGTCGGACCCCCCTCGATGGCATACTCGGTGTCGGCCAGGCTCTGCTCCATAAGCAAGGGCCGCAGCGCGTGGAGGGCGTTCTCCTTGGAGATCTGGTCCTTGCTCCTGACGACGATGACGCAGGGGTCGATCTCCCTCTCCCAGTTGGCGGAGGTGATCGGCGGGGGTGTGGCAGGCGCTTCAGAGCGGACCACTCCCAGCTCCTCACGGATACGTTTGACTTCATTTTCAAGACGAAGTATGGCTTGCTGCTGCTGGTGTTGCGCGGCCAAGACTGGTGCAACACGATCTTCGACTTGCTTGGCGAGGCCTTGGACAGTGGCCACGACCTTCTGCTGCATGCTGGCCACCTGCTGCTGTAGTGCGTTGACAACCGCTTGGCACTTCGCCACGTCGGAGGCCAGCTCGTCCTTGAGTGAGTCGATGTAGGCTGCCAGGTTCTCACCGCCCGAGGCCTGCGACTCTCCAGCCTCGGGGACAGGATGCTCGACTGCCGATGATGCGCGGCGCTTGGCTCCCACGGCGCGGGACGGGCTGTCCCCGTTGTTGGCCGCCATGGCTCCTGACTGGGCTCGCTGGCACTTGCACGAACGCAAGAGCCCACCAGCGCCCACAGGCCAATCAGGAAAGACAGAAAGAGAGAAATCGGGGAGCGCGCCGAGGCCCCCGCGCTGCCAGCTCGGCAGCGAAAAGCTTGGACCAGCTCGGGATAAATCCCAAAGCTAATCAAGATCTGGCTAAGTCCTTAACCTTCACTCGTTTAGCCTTGGGCCAAAATGGCTACGGACCCCCTCCTCGTCGTCCTCCTCCTCCTCCTTCTCTCCCTCCTCCGTTTCGTCCTCCTCCTCCTCCTCCTCCTCCTCTTCTGCTTCATCGCCCCCCCCCCGCCCTCCGCTCCCCCGCCCGCCGCCATTGCTGCGTTCTCGAACGTGCTCCACGGGTTCGCCTGCATTTTGCGCGGCCAGACGCTCGAGCCCGCGGAGGGCCAGCAAGGCGCGTCGGAGGCCGCCAAGGCGGGGGGGGGTCAGCGCGCGAGTGAGTTCCAAGATGACGTCGAAGCGACTTGAAGAGAGGCCCCAAGAGCCCCCCCCCCCTCCTCCCAGACTGAACCTGGCGCGACCCCAATTGGGGTACAGTTTCCTGTTGCATAGGCGCAGTGCTTGGCATTGCTTAGTAGTGTTTGGCGTTGCTCGGCATTGCTCGGCATTGCTTGGCATTGGCTTGAAGTTTGCTTACCCTTGCTGGGCATTGCTTGGCCTTGCTTGGCTTTCCTTGGGATTGGTCGGCATGGCTCCGAGGAGCCCGAAGAAACCTGGGCGCCAGAGGAACCCGCGAAAACCCTGCCCAAAGAACCAGACGAACCCGAGCACCCTCCGAACAAAAAGCAACGTGCGACTCCGAGGCGCCAATCCTTAGCCAAGTAAGAACTCCTTAGGCGAACATAATAATGGAAAGTTTGTGAGGATCCGAAACTGGAGGCCCGCGGTGGATGACCAAACCAATGCCACTCAAACTATCATGATGCATGGCTTGCGTTGAAAGGAAACTGCTGGCCTCGCTCGATGTGGGTCACACGTGTGAGATCGGATCGGGCGAGATAACTCGCGACTCTGTTATGTGGGTGGATCTAGTGTAGATGGCGTTCGCTTGAGACACCATAAGGGTTGTTAACGAGACATTGAGCATGCAAGCGCTCGTGTCGACGATATGTTGGACATGCAAGCACTAGAAACTTATCAACACGTAAGGTGTGGTCATCGCTTGAGACACCTTCGCGCGCCATAGCCTGTCCCGACACTTGCACCGACGCCCCGAACCACGCACGCCCGCTACTTCTCTACAACGAATCCCGCACGCGTACCAGTTCCCACCCAAACACCCCAAACACATGTATAGTCAGTAGCCGTTTTCGCTCGAGCGCAGCTGACGCGCAGAGCACCGCACATGCCAAGACGGCGTGAACAATTCGGATTCGAGAGCAATTCCCCTTCAGAGTCGGAGCACGTGTTTTCCTGGGAGCGCGACCAGCCCGATCATGCACATGACGATGCGGCATTCACATATTCGACGGGTTTGGAGCAATACGTTCTGCGATTGTACTGCACTGGTACTCTGAGTGCGAAAGATGTATGTTTGATGTCCCACGAGGCGATCACCGCGGGGGCTCGTGGCGGGTCATTGGAAAAGTTAGCGTTGGGCCCTGGGAGGCAGAGAGGTAAGTATGCGCAGCACTTGCGTTCAGTATTGCCCGAACAAACACATGCACCCGAACGGCATTATCTGGATGTCCCCGTGACCAGCCGAAATCATGGAACATCAAAGTCGATTCCGGCATCGCCGCCCCATGAATGTTTGGACGCAGAGCTTGAAAGGTTGCGGGCCGAGGGAACGATGATAGAAAGCATGCTCGTGGAGCCGGAGTGGTCCGACGTGCATGAGAACCACCCGCACAGACATCGGCCCTCGGACCCTCGCCCAGCGCCCCCGATTGCAATTTACTTGGACGGTATCAAATACACGAGGTCGATGGGCCCTGGCCGTGCTGATTCGTTGATGGCGGTGACATTTTACAATTCGCAACGCCCGCGCATCCCCGCCAACCCATCCAGAAACGACGCCCACGAGAGTTGACGGAAGGGGAAGTGGAAGAGACGCGCATAGCCAAACAACTGGTGAGGCTTGGGAGGCTCCGTGGCCACCTCGAGCGGTCTTGGAGCGCCTTGGGGCCGCTTGGAGCATCTTGGGGGCCATCTTGAGCCAGCTTGGGCTATCTGAGCTATCTTGGATGTCATCTTGGGATCTCTGAGGCCGCTCGGGGACCTCCTGGGGGCCCCTCGGGTACCGCTTGGAGTCTTCTTGTTGTTCTTGGGGCGCTCTTGGAGCCTTCTTGGGGACATCTTGGGAGCCTTGGAGCGCATCTTAGGGCCATGCTGGAGGCGGCCGGTCAAAAGAAGGGAGGCCCTAGAGTTCCGCCCCCCCCTCGGAGGCCACGATCCTCGCGAGGGTGTCAACCATTGGCCCTCCCAAGGGCCGAAAAAGAAGCTCCCGACACCTCGCGACCCCCCCCCCAAAAAAAAAAAAAACTCGGGGATGGGGATGGGGGGGTTCCCCTCCCCGAAGGGGGAGAGGGGTTGTGGAAGAGGAAAGAGACCATCGCTAGACCACCGCCCAAAGGGCTGGTCGGATTTGTGCACGAACTCCAGACACATCATTGCTGCGCAGAGCAAACGAGAACAATGCAAGTGCGGCTGCCGCGGCTGGGACACGATATATCCTGTTTTCGAATACATTCGATGGTCTATGGAGGCGCGGCATAGCTAACAGATCGGAACAAATGGAGTGGCACAGGGAAGCGAGGGCGGCAGGGGAAGTGAGGGCACACGTAGCAGAGAGGGGGGGCAGGAGGAACGAGGAGTGGGATCGATGAGAGGAAATTACCAATCATCATCGAACTCAATGTCGATATCAACACCGTCACAAGTGAGCAGGATAATTGAAGGCCGAGGTAACCAGCTGATCCTTCAATTCGTGAGAGTACCACTCCCCCTCCCCTATAGTATAGGGGAAGGGGATGGGTACTCTCGCGGCAATCCTCACACATGTTTGTTGTTCCGATCTTTAGCGGGATCCAGGCGGCAACGAATGGCACCAGACCTGTGCACCACTGGGACGGGAGCCCGTGGCCGGAAGAATCAGTTTCGGTGGAGCTGGCGTCGCGCGATTTGAGCGCGCGGTACCTTCTGGTTCAAATAAAAGCTGATTGGGTCGAGCTGAGCAGCACGCTGGTGTTCCCAACGTGGTCGTCTTATCATTCGCCTTACTTTCTGTGTGCATGCAACAAGGAGTTTTTATTCAATTTCACGAATCTCGGGTTGACGTTTTCCTCCTGGGGCGAACGAGAGCGCGGCTACCTAGACGAGTGCAGCAGCCACGAGATCGAAGTAACAGTGACAGAAGTGACCCGCTCCTGGATTCTTGAGATCGGCTTGCTTCATTACTCGAAGGACCGCCAGGCACTCGGACGCGCGCTTGGTGCAGACCTTCCTGCATTGCGTCTCCAGCGAGGCGACAGGTTGGAGCCAGGCCCAGAATTGATGGACACAGCCAGGTTTGAAACGCGCGATCTCCCATTTCGTCGCACGTTCTGGAGGGTGCGCAGAGACGCGAGGAGGCGCAACACATCGTGGACATTGCGTCGGAACCCCTTGTTCACGCCGAAAAAATAAAAAAAAAAAAAAAAAAAACAAATGAAGGAGAAAAACAAAATAACAAATATAAAAAAAAAAAAACAAAATAAAAAAAAAAATAAAAGAAAAAAACAAAAAAAAAAAGAAAAAAATAAAAAAATGAGAAAAAAAAAGAAAAACTAAAGAAAAAAAAAAAAAAAACAAAACAAAAAAAAAAGTAAAGGAAAAAAAAAAAATAAAAAAGAAAAACAAAAAAAAAAAAAAAAGAAATACCAACAAAAAAAAAAGAAGACAAAGAAAAACAAAAAAAAGCAAACAAAAAAGTAAAAGAACAAAACGAAAAAGAAACAAAAATAAAAAAAGAAAACAAAAATGAAAAAAAAAAGAAATAAAAGAAAAAAAAGAGAAAACGCTCGGCACGACACCCCACACCGTGTTGCACCTGGATACGCTGCACACCTTATATTTGGGATTATTCCAAACACTTGTCTTGGGGGTTATACTTGCTGTCATCAATGCCAACGTGTGCGATATAACTGGGCCGATGGAAGTTGCGCGAGCAGAATCTCTTAAACGTATTCTCAGTGACTACAAATCATGGGCAGACAAAAAAAACGCATTGACGTCAGCTACCAACTGGCTCAGCTGACACCACGTATGATCCAAGGGAAAAAGAAACCTGAATTCAAAACGAAAGCTGCGGAGACAGGAGTATTGCTTCGGTGGGCGACACACTACTGTAATGAGCCAGGTGGATTGGCGTTTCCAGGCCGCGCAACTTTTGCAGCGGCGGGGGTGGCTTTGATAGACTACATGACAATTCTCCGCAGTCGCGACTTGAAGATTGGAGGGGAATATTGCCAACAACTTATGTATTTGTGCCTTCGGCACCTGGCATTAATGGAGGATTCGGGGTGCAGATTCTTGCCAAAGGCGCACATGCTTGTGCGCATCACTCAAAGGATTTCCTCGCAAGGCACCCCCCGTTGCTATTCAACGTTTCTGGATGAAACACTTAACCTCTGCCTCGCTCAGATGGCTGCCGCGTCGCACAAGGCCAATTGGGAATTGAGCATATTTCAAAGGTCGCGCCTGTTGCCCCTGGTCAAGAAGAATTCAGCGCTTGCTGCGCTGTGACACATACAATCATCCACCAGATCACCAATCATTCTAGCATAATCGCGATAAGGATGTAGGGAGGAGTAAGATGAGGAGGGCGAGCACGAGGATGCGGATGGCGAGGAAGAGGAGGAGGAGGAGGAGGACGAGGAGGAGGAGGAGGAGGATAACGATGACGAGCGGAGGGGAAAGAAGGACGGATAACGAGAAGAGGAGACATATGAAAACGAAGAACATTATGATCTGAAGAA